AGCAGAAAGAACCGGAGCTCACATTTACTTTCCAAAACTAGACCCACCATTTCCTATTTCTGGTCAAATGAATAACTACAGGGGGATTTCACAATGCGTAATTCCCCTCCCCCCATTCCATCCCTGCAGAAAAATGAGTATAAAAGTGCTTGAAAGAAATTTAGTCGATAAAATAAGCAATTTGCTTTATTGCTATAAGGAAATCTCTGTCATGCTACTGCAAACACCTCAAACAAGATGCTCAACTTCCCTCTGACATAGGGACTGTGGAAATTGCCATCTGACCAACCTGGAAGCTGAGGGGTTAAGTGACTTGGCCACAATCATATCACGGTTAACCCCAGAGTAAGGGTCCAAACCCAGGCAGCCCAACTCCAAAGTCTGTGTTCTTCATCGTCTTCTTCTGTGCAGCGTTAGTGTGTCACAGGGTCTCAGGCTTTTATTATTTGCCCCTCACCGCATAACAGTACTAGGCAAGGGCACTTCCCTCTCTAGATGGAAAAATGTCCTCATCTGCCCTCTGAAAAGGAGCTACCTGATCACTCTAACTGGACGGATTGAGATACAGTATAGAATTTATCTTTTGATTGTGGTAGTCTGTTTGAAATTTGAAGCTCTTGCAGCAAGCAGCGTTCCTCAGAGTCGATTCCTTGCAATGTTCCAGGAATCACAGGGGATGTTTGTTTCAAAAAGGGATCTGAATTCCACCAAAACTTTCCAAAGCTGAGCCCTAACAGTAGACCCCAGGACAGGCAGACACTGGTGGTTCACATCTGTAATCCTACCCATGAGCTGAGATCTGCAGACTGCAGTGCAAAGCCAGCCTGGACAGTAGTTTCCATTTCCAATTAACCAGCTAAAGGCCAGAAGCAGAGCACCAGCATGAAGCGAAAATACTAAGTAAGAGCAACAGGCCCTGAGTTCATTCCCCAGCACTGGTGCGCACGCGTGCACACGCGCGTGCGCACACACACACACACATTATCTGCACTTTGAAGATGCACCTTAATAATTTCTGTATACACTAACAATTGAGTTATCATGGAGTTGTATGTAGAGGTGTCAGGCGCTTGGCATATCATCAGTTCAACAACAGATGATTCTAGAAAGCTGTCACAGCCTCTCTGCATTCAATAGCTATTTCGGGGGGGATTGTAATGTGCAAGAAGTATCCTTAAATTGCAGTTTACTTCCGTGTGAGCCAGCTGATTAAGAGAGCTTGAACAACTTCCTCAGGGATTCGAGTTAAGTGGACACTCATCTACGAACATTCTCCTATAAAAGTATAGAAAAAAAAAAAACACCGTTTTCCTCACAACTCACAGCACATTTTCCCAGGGGGGTTCAGATCCCCTTCGTTTTCATCTACAACCCGATCAAAGACGACAATGAGGACCAAGAGCGTTTCCATAATTGGGCCAAGCTCATCTCCCATCCTTGTCCCCAAGCGTGTTCAGCCCTGCCCTGTCACCTCAGTCATTCCAGGGCCCCAAACACCACAGCATCCTGAGGTCCGGCTCGCATCCTTCCTTCTCAGTGCAGGTGTGGCTCAGCAAGCCCCACGGCCTGTCAAGAGGACTCAGGGCCTCTTCTTTCCTACTGCTTCTCGTTTGCTATTCTTCTATGGCTCTCCCCACCGCTTTGTATCTGCTTTTCACAGCGTGCTGACATTCTGTCCAGCTGTCTCGACAGGTAGACTGAAGAGGAGAACCATAACCTGTTTGTGCACACTGCTTTCTTGCTGAAAGCCTACACAAACGATTTACCAAAGCAAAGACATGATTTACCATTGTAACATAGCATGAATGAAAAAATTAATTTATAATTCATAACACTGGAAAGTCTTGATTCTTAGGGTAAAACTTAGTGTCACCCTCTAGACAAAGATTTTTATATAAATATATATATACAATGTATATACAATATGCATATATATTATATATACTATATATACTACATATACAAATAATATATATAATATATACTAGATATATGATGTACATATATGTATATATGTATATATATTATATATATAGTATATATTATATATACTATATATACTACATATACAAATAATATATATACTAGATATATGATGTACATATATGTATATATGTATATATATTATATATACATATATGCAATATATATTGCATATATGTATATATAATATACATGTATTATTGTATGTACATTGTATATCTAGTGCTGGTTCTGGGGCTTGAACTCTGGGCCTAGGCTCTTTCCCCGAGCAACTTTTGCTCAAGGCTAACACTCTACCAGCTAAGCCACAGTGCCACTTCCAGCTTTTTGTGAGTAGTTCATTGGAGATAAAAGTCTCACAGACTTTCTGACTGGGCTGGCTTTGAACTGTGGTGCTCAGATCTCAGCCTCCTGAGTAGCTAGGATTATAGGTGTGAGCCAGGGTGTCTGACATTTTTACTATTGTTATCACCCTTAAGTAGTTGTACAAAGGAGTTGCCATTCAACAAAGCAATTTATGAATACAATGCATGCATCTTGATCAATGGCATGCCTTTCCTCCTTCCTCCCATTCCTCCCCACCCCACCCCTTCCCTCAATTGTCTTCATTGTGTGGGGTATGTGTTGAATTTCATGACTACAGTCTCCCTCTCTTTCTCTTTTCATTCTTCTACCTCCCTACCCTTGCCATTTTTTTTCCTGTTATAAAGTGGTTTTATTAACTTGATTTGGATATACTCTAGGTCAAATAATATCTTCTGAAGATAACAATTATGGACTCTAAAACTCAACCTAAAATTTTAGTAACTTCAAAACTGTTAACTCATATCCCCAGCAACAGCATGGTAAAAATACCTCAACTATCTAGAAATATAGCAATGTAGGACTAGTTGGAAACTCAGAAATCATGTAGCCTAAGGTCCTGCTTACATGAGAAAACTGGACTAAAAAAGATTAAACATTTTGTTCATGACCACATACTTAATTGTAAGAAAGCTAAGCACCAAACCAGCAAAATTCCATCATTGGTATTTCCACCAGCTCTCTTATCAATTAAAAGTCTAAGCTCTTGTCTAATGTTCCACACCATTGTGACTTGAAATGACAAGCTACTACAGGAAGTTATTGGGGCAGCTCTAGCCAATCCCTGAGCTCACTGGTGCTCTGGAGAGATGATAGTAAGTCAGAGGCTGTCAGCAGAGGTGTGTCTACACTGAGATCCAGGTGCTAACAGATTCTCTCCAGTCCCACATGCTGAATCTCTCTGCACTGAGGGCTTTGGTACCATCTTTGGATAACAGTGAATACAGCTAGGCTGGAAAGCCTGACTCTCAAATACCACTAAACACTCTAGACCCCTTTCGTGTTACTTTTAAATTGCCCATAGTATGATTATACAATCATTAGCCAGGAGGAGGAAAATTAATGAAGTAATAGAAATTTCTGAGTTTGCAGACCCATCAAGGAACAAATAATCTATTTCCTCTTTGACTTCAAAGACTGAAACTAATTCTTCTTATTGAATGGATTGGGGGAGACAGTGAGCTTAATTGATGTCCAGACAGGTTTATTTAATTGTGTTTTATTATCATGACTCCCCCGTGTATCTTCCGCCAGCTCCATGAACTATCACACTTAGGAGAATATCATTCTATAGAAGAGTATGTCTCATTTCTCAAAGAAATAGCATCAGATGGACATTTGTTTAAGCTAATTTGACACTGAAGAATGGGCTTTAAGTGGTCCTAAGTTGTTTGTATGTTAAAAACTAGAAATATGTCCTCTCTTAATACCTAGAGAACATTTAGTGTGGGCTTTTAAAATTATTATAAAACATTGATTCTAGGCATTTTTACTCAACAGGTTATTTCCTAGATAAAACAAACCTACCAAAACCATATATCAAAGTGATTATAAATGGATATTCTTCCATTCATTTCCCTAAGGTGTCTCTCTCTTTCTCTTGGACTTGTTCTCCTAACAGTATCACTTTCCAAACTCAGAAGTCTGGCATCTGTGACATACAAATCTTCAGGAAATTATAGATGATAATTGTATAGTAGAGAGGGTGGTCATGGCTTATACCTGCAATCCTGGCAAGCTGAGATATGAGGACCATGATTCAAAGCCAGCCTAAGCAGACAAACCTGATCAGCTAAGTAAAAGCTAGAAGTGAAGGTATCCATGGCTTAAGTGGTAGAGTTCTAGCTTTGAGGGAATTAGCCAAGAAAGAGCAAGAGGCTTTGAGTCCACACACACACACACACACACACACACATACACAAATAATAAACTGGGCCCCACTGACTTACACCTGTAATCCTAGCTGCTCAGGAGGCTGAGATCTGAGGATCACAGTTTGTAGCCAGCCTGGGCAGGAAAGTCCATGAGATTCTTACCTCTCATTAACCACCAAAAAGCTGGAAGTGATAGAGTGCTAGCCTTGAGCAAAAAAAAAAAAAAAAAAAAAGTTCAGGGACAATGCCCAGGCCCTGAGTTCAAGCCCAAGGACCAGCACGAATAATTATAATTATAATAATAACAAGCTTCACGCCTATGTTGTGTTAAGTGTTCTTAACACTTTTATACAAATTACTTTAGTCAGGCCCACCATAAACCAATGAAATAGATATTAGGAAGCCCATTTTACAAATGAAAGAGTATCTCTGAGCCACACCACCTGAGCTATTCTGAAAGCAGGATTCTTACTCCAGCACCTGCTTAAAACGCATCCCCTACCACTATTACACTAAATGCTCCCCATATATTCTTTATTTCAGAACAAGGAATGAGGATGCTTGGTCTTGCTTGCTTGTTTCTTCTTTTTTTTTTTTTTCTTTAAGAGATGGGTGTGGTTTTGTTTGCTCTTGTTTTGTTCTAAAGAGCAGTTAAAAGTGAGCCTTCTTTCTTTCCCAAACGTCTTTCCCAAGCCCTTGCTGTTGCAAAGACACTGATTCTGAAGTCAGGCCCTAATGAGCTTTCCTCTTTGTTTCCCTCCCTGTCTCTCCCTTCTGCAGTTAATAGCCAAGATACCAACCATCACTGCGGTTTGCAACTTGCACGGTGAGAAGCTGCAGGTATTTAAGCAATCTCATCCAGACATAGTGAATACACTGTTTCCTCCCTTGTACAAGGAGCTCTTTAACCCTGACTGTGCCACCGTGTGCAAATGAAGGGCCCAAGACAGCTGGCTCCTGGTCGTGGAATGCATCACTTTTAAGACAAAAGCAATGTGTTCATGAAGACCTCAGAAAAAAAAAATGTCACTACTGCAACGTTAGGAATGTCCTGCACTTAATAGAATTATTTTTCACCGCTACAGTTTGAAGAATGTACATAGGCACCTGAATGGGGCTCTTTTTGTTGTTCGTTGGTTTGGGAAATGACCATAAATATACAATATAGGACACTGGGTGTTATCCTTTTTTTTTATTTTATTCAGGTATGTTTTGAAGACAACTGTTTATAGAATTTTATTGTAGATACATTCGAGAACAGAGCGGTACTTTACATGGTTACTTTTCCTGTTGATTGTTCCAATATAATTTAAGAAAATTCCACTTAATAGGCTTACCTATTTCTCTGTTTTTAGATAGCTGGTGCATGTGTAAATCTGTAGCTGTCTTGAAAAGTCCTGTGCATGTATGTAATGAGTATATAATATGGGTGAATATTATATATGACTATTACATATACATGCACATGCACTGTGGCTTAAAATGCCATTCCTACTAGCAGTGGAGGTTCAGTCGGGCTCCCTTATATTATTTGCCTTCTGTGTTCTATGTTACTTTTTTATGTTAGACAATCAGGGTTTTGTTTTTCCAGTCAGAGTTTTTCATCTATAGTCAATAGCAGGACAGCACCGATTCAGTTAAGCCTACAAAGGAATAAATATAATGCATGGTTTCTGTAAACAAACATACAAACTATTTCTATCAATGACATCAAAGCCTTGTGAAGATGGTAGTACATAGTGAGATGGTGAAGGAAGTATTTGGAGCCATTTTCCTGTTTTAAAAATTGGGCTGAGGCTAGAGGCGAGATTCAAGTGGTAGAGCACTTGCCTAGCAAGCTCAAAGCCCTAAGTTCAAATCAAAGAGGAAAGGGAGGAAGGGAGGACTGGATAGAAGAAGGAAGAAAGGAAGGAAGCAAGCAAGCAATAAAAAGGAAAGAAGAAAGGAAAAAGAAAGGAAGGAAGGAAGGAAAGAAGGAAGGAAAGGAAGGAAGGAAGGAAGGAAGAAAGAAAGAAAAAAGAAAGAAAGAAGGAAAGAAAGAAAGAAAGAAAGAAAAAAACTGAATTTCAATCATGTCTGTAAGGTCCAATACTTTTTTAATCAAACAAAAGATAATTTCCTGGTTTTTCACCAGAATACATCAAACACTTTTTTCTTTGTATTTGAAATTTCCAATTGTAGGAAAACAAAAATATATGACTTAGGTGCTTATTATATCTTTAACCAAAAAAATCTGTGGGATATGATCACCAGCAATGGTTTTTAAAAACTGAACTAAAAATATGGTCCATAGTTCCAATGCCATTTTGTGTAAACATTGTCTACTGATACTTTGGCAAAGAAGAGAGTATCATCAAACATACAAAGAAAATTAGTGGCTCTTGATATTCATCCTATTATATACTTTTTAGAGCAGCAATAAAGGGAGGTAGGACTTCCCGTGTCCTAGCTTAATGCCCTCAGTTTTCTTCAACTCTAAATTTCTACACTACTAGAAAAAGAAAAGTGGCAGGAACTTAACCAAATAAAAAAAGGATATATGGTTTGACTTTGGAACTAATATACCCCAATGCCAAAACTATTTATCATTTATCCAACCTGAACTTTTTTTTTTCAGTTGTCGGGCTTGAACTCTGGGCCTGAGTGCTCTCTCTGAGCTTTTCAGCTCAAGGCAAGTGCTCTACCACTTGAGTCACAGCACCACTTCCAGTTTTCTGGTGGTTAATTGGAGACAAGAGTCTCACTGACTTTCCTGCCCGGACTGGTTTGGAACCAGTCAGTTCTCAGCCTCCTGAGTAGCTAGGATTACAGGTATGAGCCACCGGCACATGGTTGAACTTTTAATTTTTTTAGCTGTGTCAAAATACATAGAACCCAAGGGTGACTTATACAAGTTTTTTCTTCTCTATGTGTTCTCACATGAAATTTGCATGGATGCCAAAACATTTGTTCTATCCTGGAGGCCCATGCTTTGGGGACTGACTCCTCCAAGAAAAGCTTGGAAAGAAAGTTGTGTATAAAACAATTAAAATTATCATCTCCTGTAAGTGTAGCCCAGCCCCAATTCACACACACACACACACACACACACACACACATACTTCATTGCAAACTTCCATCAATAGAAACTTTGAATATTTTTTTAAACTCTGATGCTCTCCTGAAGTTCATAGTTGAGAGCCATTTCCAAGAAGGCTCAGAATTTTTGATTGATGATCAAAACAGGGGTGTTAGTCTGTTCCTCTTAAGAAACTAAGAAACGGGGCCTTTTTCTCACCTCATGATTGATGAATTCCAAACCCAAGGGGGAAAACAAAAAGGCTTTAAAATAATGAATCTCTTGCTCAACTACTGTTATCTTCAATTAATTCAACTACATTGAACCAAATTACCTTTGGTTCTGAGAAGACAGCTGTAGGCTGCTTATTATGCTGCTACAGGGACTCAGTTCTTTTTGGTGTAAATGTCACTCCTGCTAGCTCTTTGTATAAAGAATTAATTCCAAGAGTCATATTTCCTTCTAATGGAAAGATTACTTCAGTGATTGCTAGGAAAACAGGGTAATGGAAGGTACTCAATTTAACCAAGCCAGTTCCAAATGCAATGTATGTTTTATGATTGGCTTGTGATGGGTGATGCTTACTATGTCCACTTGGTGTTTCCCTTTGAGCTTTGAACTCGCGTCCAACTTTGTTTTCCTGGTTTCTTTTGGCTTAGTATTTCCCACTGTCAGCCTTCAATTCCCATCCAGTTGCATAGGGATTCATTCGTTGCCTCCAATTTACCTTAGAGGATTTAAATCGGCTCAATTGATGAAGGAGTTGAGATTTTTTTTTCCTTTCTGGCCCCATGGGTGGTATAGGAGAAAGATTGTTCCCCCCCATTTGCCTCCAGAGGTACTGGTTTTGAATTTGTGTCATTTCCACTAGATACAAACATTTTACTGGGATGGCAGGAACTTTTTGAGGCTAAGAGACAGGAAGTAGATCTAGCAAGCCAAGCAGAACAAAACCATGGAAACCAGTACAGGCGAGGTCTACTTTAGTGGAGAGAAGAGATTTCCAGTTTGCGCTACAGTTGCCAAATCCTCCCTCCACAGAGAATCAAATCCTGGGTAGAATGGTAACAAAGCCTTAAGATCACTGCCCTCTGAACATCTCCTGTGGCATGCCCTGGCATATTGAAATCTGGGTAAGAACAGCTCACTCTACCACAGGCCTTCCCAGAACATCACCCAGTCCCCTTCCACCTCACCCTGCAAGCTAGCGAAAGATCACCACCCACCCAGAAACACAACACGGGAGCTGAAGAAGAACCCTGTAATCCGAACTTCTCACTTCATGCTTTGTAAATGACAATCACTGCTCGATGCAGATCTTGCACTGTCTCCACTCAGGGATATTTCATTAAGAAAAAAAAATGATACTTGAGAAGGAGGGGGAAAAAGAAAACAACAGGAAAATGACCACAAAATATACATGGTATAAAAACCTCTCTGACCCGGCTTTCAGACAAATGCGTAGCAACTTCATGTTGTAAAGAGAATTAAATTCTTAGTCAGACTTGCTCAATCAATAGTTGCACACAAGTGAGGACAATTTAGCGTTCATTTTTATTTTAAAAAAAATTATGCTGAGCACCAAATAAACAAGGTGCTCCACTTAGAGAAAGAGACTTCTCTTACAGCCAATCCAGGCTTCCTATCCAAATCCCTGATCAAGGAAAATACCACCTTCTAGTCAGTATGGGGAAAAATTAGGGAAGTGAAGCTATGTAAATTCTAATTCCTGTGTATCTTTGGACTATAAAAAGAAAGGCAATTTGGGGAGGGGGAAATTGGGGAAAGAAGAATAAGGATTCCCAACTCTGTTTTGACAACTGTAGATGGCCCTGTTGTCTATGACTTGGGTCCTTGTACTTCTTTTGCTGTAGCTTTTTATTCCCAAAGATTAAGGATAGACACGTACTTTACAAGCACATCCTTCCTGGATTTCCTCTGTCTTAACACTTTCTTCAGGCCTCTGAATTAAAAGAACCTATGAGTAAGTGAAAATAGAGAAGATAAATGGTCTCTTGGGTCGTAGTTTCGCATTATTCTGACAGAATCTGAGAGACCCTAAATTATATTGAACTCTAGATATTAACTAGCAGTAACCAGAAAGACACCAGTAACTATTCCATGCCCTGTTTAAAAGATACCTTTCCAGAAGCCAGGCTGACCTATAGAAAAGCACACAGATAGATAGCCACTTCATAATGACTCTGTCATGCTATGTGTACCAGGCTTCAGTGCAAATAAGTCTGTGTTCCAAGGACTGCCTACAACTTCCCAGTGTTTTTTTGTTTTTGTTTTTATAAAAACACCAGTAAGATGCAAATAATGTTAGTATCCATGTTCTTCATTTCTGTTTATTACAGAAGTATGTAAAAAAATCTAGTGTTATTGGAAGTTGGAAGAGATCATTTCTTCCTCTTTTTTTTTCCACTATAAACTTGTATGTCCTGTGAAGTTACTACCAAGGTCAGTAAATTCAGACAAGAACCTCTGTGCTGGGTAACAGATGCCTGGTTCCATAGTATCATAGTCACTGTAACGTGTGCATCTGGAATGCAACTTAGCACAAAGTCCCTTCATAAAGGAGTGGGAAGCCCACCATCTGCTTTAGATGAAGTGTTAGTAGATTCTAGATTGGCAAGTGCTGGTACAAGAGGTAACTAGAGCAAAGGCCTGATGAGAGGAACTATGGGAATTTTTTTAGAAGACAGCTGACAGCCTTTTCCTCCTTTATTTATTTTTTTAAAAATTGAGGGGCACACGGAGAGGGTGGGACCAGAGATACACAGACCATTTAAAGTAGAGGTTAAAAAGTAAAAAGCCTAAGATGGCAGAGTCATTGCAGGTGAGCAAATCTGTTAAAGCAGAATCTCCCATAAAAGGGGATACTAGCTACGCCTGAGGCTAAGTGCTGTTGAAATATGTGTGTTTTATAAGATGGATAATGGCTGTAGACTCAGCGCGTAGCGCAGACCAAACCAACACATTTCCGAACAAAAGAAGGTCCACAGCTGGCAACCTGTGGTTTCTGTATGGTTTCTATAAGATTGATATACTTAGGTTGCCCATTCAGCTAGTGCAGGACTGGCCATATTTTCCCAAGAATGACACCTGAGTGATCCTAGAATTGAGGGGAAGGAGATCTTTGCTCTCCATTTCGTTTCTTCACTTGCCTATCACTACTCAAGGATGTGGTAAGCTAAGAAGTTGCTTGAACAAAATAACCACCTAAAAACAAAGATACTTCCAGATATTTTGAATTCTTCTTGTGCAAACTCCCATTGTCATGAACCAGGGGGCTAAAGTTCTTGCCACTTTTTTTTTTCCAAAAGTCAAATGCATGATGTTGGTGTTTCTGAGTCTCCACGTGCGTTAGTCAATAGACAGCTTCGCTATCTGCGGCAGGTTCTCACTTTCCCTTGGTTGCATGTCTCTGCCCTGTTCTGAAGAGTGCAGACCACGGGTTCCTATGCAGCCGATGGGGTGGTCTGTTTATGCACTTTTTTTCCCCTACGCTGCTGAACTTCCACCTCCTGTGTGAACTGGCCATCATCATCTTCACCTCCTGCATGAGATAGGCATGCCCTGCAATGGGGTCAGATAGAGCAACTCAGTGTTTGTTCCCATGGCCAAAAAAAGAAAAAGAAAAGAAAAGCACAAGGACAACTGGAAATGACTAAGTCCAGTTCAGGGAGACACTGGTCCCCCACCACCCATCTGAGCGGCTGGATTC